TGCTTGATGACCAGAGACTGATGGAAGAATGACTACATTACCGCTCAAAATGTGCATTCTTCACCAACTCAGAATATCTGAATTATGTTCCGGCAGGAAGACTAGCACTTGCTACTAAATAGATCTTTATTTCAATAATTTAAAAAACTCTTAAAGAACTAAGAAAATTATTCATATTTGTATGCAATGCAATAGCATTTAAAATTCTAATAGGATGCTTGCAGATATTAATAACTTGTTCTAAAATTGCCTTAATGAATGGACGGAGAATAGTCAGGATGATCTTAAAGAAAAAAATAATAAACTTAGAGGACTGACCAGATATCAGGACTTACAACAAACTGTAGTAATTAATTAAATTGTCTGATCCCTTTGGAAAATTTTGACAAAATCTACTCAGTCTAAATATACCTATTTTCTATGACCTGAAAATTTTACCCAAGAAGTGCCTATATACACTTCTCAAACATGTATATAAAGTAATGCTTGAAGCACATTATTGGTAGCTCAAACTAGAAATGTACCAAGTGTTTATCCCTAGTAAAATGAATGAATAAATAAATGAGGGCAGTCACCTGACAAAGTGCTACACAACAGAGAAAAATAATGAAGTACAAATATATACCAAAACATGTACTCATCTCACAAATTAAATGTTGAATGAAAGGATCCAGATGAACGGGGTACATCCTGTATCATTCCATGTATGGGATGTTTAAAACTAGGCAAGATCCACGGCCAGCGATGCATGCCATGGGCTGGGGGCGACGCCCAGGAAGAGAGGTCTTAGTGGCTGGTACATCCTCTTCTTGCCTGCAGGGCAGTCAACAACTATGCGCCCAGATCAAGGTTCCCCAAACAGTCCACTTAGGACTTGCGCATCCCTCTGCACAGATACTACACTTCAAAAGACTTTAAAAAATTACAGGTAAGATTAAAATCCCTGAGATATATAAGGGGCTAAAGACGCAAACAACACTTGGAGTAAACTTTTCTCCACGCACAGAGAATCACAAATCAACTATAATTTACCAATTACACTGACTTTCTCTCTTCTACATGTTCCTATCTCAAAATGCACATAAACATCAAGTAGCAAAATAAGAAAACAAGGCAAAGAGTAGTAATATCGGAGGTAAGTCTCCCTCAAAGGAAACAGGAGAATATAATGAACTGGATATCAAAGGAACAAAATTGGCTTAATCAAGATCTTTTCATTGTAGCAAACACAGCGAGCGATCCAGACATGAAAATGTGGTAAATGTAAACAAGGTCTCAGGAAAAGAAGGCAAGGTTTCCCTGAAATATGACACTTGGTTATCTGCCCCTCACTCCATCTGAGTTGCGTTTAGTGTGTATCAGAACCATTAGTGGGAGCAGAACACTGCTGGCTTTGTTGACAAACACTGGTGCACAATGAGCTGTCTGCAGAAGCCTGCCGCAGACACTCTTCTGTGGAAGTCCAGTAAGTAAGCAGATGGAGAGGGAATCTCTCTGCCCTGGATAAAATAAAGCCTGGGGACATCAGGGACCCGAGGCCACTCCCTGGCTTTCCCCGCAGCTCAGGGCAAACCCAGGTGGTCATTAGCACAGTGTGAAGCAAGCTCTCCTCAGGCCCACCACAGCTGATACAGCTACTCTGGAACATAAATGGGGCTCCCTGCTCTCCTGCCTCTGCATTCACTCTTCCTACAGATGCGCACTGGGGTCTGTGATGTTCTAAAGTATTACTGGGCCCATTTGTTTTTCTTTTACAGGACTGAACCTTGGTCTTCAAGCAAGCTAGGCAAGCATTCTACACTAAGCTGTTACTTTGAAAATAACTCTTGCTAAATTGCCCAAGCTGGGCTTGAGTTTAATACTCCTGCCTTCGGAGGCTCAATAGAATAAGCAATTGCCTGGCAAGTGCAGGGTCCTGAGTTCAAGCTCCGCTACAGAAAACAAAAAACCAAAAAAACCCTCCTACGTTAGCCTCCCAACTAGTTGGGATTACAGGCCTGTGCCACCATGCCCAACATAAAGGGATATTCTTGAATAATAGATTTATAAGGAACCAAGGACATAAGTGGGGTAGACTGCTTACTCCAAATAGCCTCACACTGGCAGACAGCCAAGTTATAGATCTTGACTTGTATTTTCTGAATAATTTGAGTTGATGAGACCAGGATTAACTAAGTATGTTCCACTCTTTTATCCAACTCTAGATTTTTTATTAAACTCTAGATTTTGTCATTTATTTTTTTATATCTTCAACTCTATAAGTCTCCAGGGAAATACTGCTAGCTTCTTCTAAAGGTACCAGCTATCAAAAAGCAAAACAAAGCACCCTTCATTTGCTTAACCACATCACCCACAATTGTTAACTTTACCCCTAACCTGTGAAAATATGTGAAAAGTTAACCATTAATCTGCAATCTGGGCCAGCCAAATAGCTCAACGGATTAAAGTGCCTGCTTAGGCACACGCAGGGGCCTGGAGAGATTCCCCGGCCCCTGGAGCACGCTGAGATGGCAATTGAGACTAGATGTGGTGGTGCTCCTGTAATCCCAGCACTTGGAAGGCTGTAAAGAGGAGGATTACTGAGTCTGATCTACGCAGTAAGACTCTGTAGAACCTGTCCATAAAAAAATAAAAAATAAAAAAATTTTAAAAAGCTAAAATCTGCAATCTAATGGTCATTTGGGCATCATGGTTCTATGCATTTCTCTTTCAGTTTAATCTTAAATGGAGATTAATCGCCAGAAAAGCCAGGCTACGTCATGCTGCCACGGGGTGAGGATCCTGGGGGCTTATCACGACGGTATGCAAGGCCTCCATATCATGTTACTATTTGAGGAGATAAGCAACCCTTACAGTAAATTACCTGGGGAATGCAAGGTTGAGGTGGGAGGCTGCATTCTTCTATAGCAGTCCTAAGCCACTGAGGGTGCAACTGGAACATGGGTTCCTGGAACCTGGGCCTGCTCATGTGCCACGCCTTCAGAGAAGGACAGCCTTGACTAGCAACAGATGGTGAGCGAGCAACTGGCTAAAGATTCAGACGTGTAAATGCAGCTGGAAGGGACTTCCAAAGTGCAAGGGACAAAGGAAATCCTTCCTTCTAAAGTGATGTCTTTCAGTGTTGTTATTTTTGTAAAGGCTTTTTGTTTTACAGATAGTATCTTTATATTTGGTGGATCTTTTTACACAATCCCTTAAAGACAATTATTACCTTATCTTTATAGATGGAGAAAATAAAGCTCAGAAAGTGGAAATGTTTATCAATCAACGACTAGGAAGGAACTGAAAGGGAATTCTCATGCCTCTGTGAGTTAAGTTCACAGAAGAGTCTTGTCACCTATGTCCTACTTTCCCATCCTTCCTTTTCTTTTAATCACACTGACACTAATGAAGGTCTGTTCCTCTCCTCCTTCCCTGGTTCCTCCATCCAGACTTAAGGAAAAGTTGCAAGAACAGCGAGGCAACACCCGAGTGCTAAATTCATCTGAACTCATAGGCTTCTTGGTTCACCCCAACACAACACTACCATATATTTTCATCAAATTGGCACCCACATCACCGTAAGATAGCTGCTGATTGAGCAGTTGAGGATTTCAGCGGCATTCTACTGAAAAGTTGTGATTTCAGTGATGCTGAGAGGAATTTGGTCATGGAAAAAGGAAAGCCAAATGTAAGGGTCTTTAAATATTAAATAATCCTCATGAAGTGTTAATGGAAACATCTGTGCTTTTAGAAACATGCACTTGATTTTTTTTCCTTTGCTCTGGCTGATCTCACAGGGAGCATCTCAGTAACGCCACGGCCATGAGAAGAATGGGGACAGGGAAGATGGCCAGTTATACCATCTTATCTATGCTTATGTCCTTATTATCCTCGTTTCTACAAGGAAATGAGGACTTGGGAGGACAACGACCGTGGCTCAGAGACAGCAGTGGTCAAGCTGGAAGTGGCTAGGTCTCTGACTCCAGAAGCCCGTGTCTGCTATACCATCTGCAGTCGCCCTACAGTTGTGTATTTCCCCTAATATACCAAATAAGACCAGTCCAAGAGATCGGAAGCAACTGGAAGCTAAGAATAAGGACATGGAGGGCGCATGAGCCACTTCCCCCCAGAGCGTAAGCTTCATCTGCAAGGGCTAAAAAGTTCTTCACAGTGTCATGCTTTACACTGCGATGTCTCTCCACAATTCATGTGCTCACAGGCGCAGCCCTGGGAGGTGACTGGATCACAGGGGTGCACGACGCTCATCAGTGAGCCACTCTGCCGGTGTGCTCACAGCTAACTGTGGCACGGAAAGGGAGCACAGCTGAAAGCGGTGGGGCACTGCAGCATGGCCTGCAAGGGTCACTCCCTGCTTCGTGGATGCCTACAGCTGTCCTCTGCCATGCTGTCCTGCACTGGAGCCAGCCAACTACAGCCTGACATGGCTTCAAACCATGAGCCAAATAAAGCTGTTCTCCCTTAAGTTTTGGATATCAAGTACACAGCCCAGCAATGTGCAAGGGACTGAGATCAGGGGTGGTGGTACTGGGTGATGCACAGGATACTGCGCTGTCACACCTACCTCCACTAAAGCACTGACCGCTGGCCCACTACTATCCAGGCTCCCCTTTCTTCGCAAGGTCTTTCCTATACCTTTAGGGACAACAGCACAGTGTCTCTCAAAGTAAACCATCCTATGAAGTGCTGGGTGCCTGGGTCACAGGCAACCTGTTAACTTCTGGAAAAGGGAAGGAACAGGAGTCCTAGTGCCTTGCACATTCTATGCCTCTAAGAATAAAGTTATGCCACGCTGTTACCCACCTTGAAACTGAACCAGAGTATCAACACTACTGAGCCAGATACTGAGCCAGTGTTCAGTATCCCTGAACACTGATTTCTTTGTTAAAATGAATATACTAACTTCTTAAAAGAACATCCAGATACTTCCCTTCATTCCTAACGAAGAAATGCTTCCCAGTCTGCTCTTGCAAAGGTATGCATACACTCGTCCTCCTTACCAAAGGTAACTTCTCCTTTGCCAGCCTTATCAAACAGCTGAAAGGCCACCATAAACAAAGCATCCGGAGCACACAGGACAGACTCAAATGCTACAAATTCTTGAAAGGATATTAATCTGTAACATAAAACAAACACAAAGCAGAAAGTCAGTAGCTTGTAGAAAAAATAAAAGCACATATAAATATACACTAAGAGGAAAAAAAAAAAAGAAATGTTACCAAAAACTAAAATTCAAAACTAAACACATTTCTCAACACTTAGCATTTCCTTTTACACAGTGTGGACAGATGGATAAGACTGCGCAGAGGCTACGAGACACAACAGGCTTGAGCACATAGTGGAACAATAAATGCACTGTAATTTCAAATGCAACTGTTTCATCCAACACTATTAATGTTTCAAACCTCAATCTTGCCTCAAACATGTTGTCAGAGTCTGCAGTGAAAGCCTAAATACTTTGGATGAAGAGGTAACTGTGTAACAAGATGGAACTGTTGTTACTTAGTAACACCCTTACATACCATGTAAAAAAGTCACAGATATTCATTCATTACGGATACCTACTAACTACATGTGAACTGAGTAAGGATTATTACAGGGGACAATACAGACAAGTCAGACATGAAATGTGACCCCAAAGAAATTCTAGTCCAGTTAGGCAGAAAGCAATGCTCTAGAAACAGTAGCATTCACTACAGACAAAATGGAAAATCAGGACCAAGAGAATCTTGAAGAGAAGAGAAGAAAATGCTCATTCTTCTTCCTTTGGAATATAAATTTCTTCACCAGTTTAGGGACTTTATTACACAGCACTAGACAAAATAAACAGAGAGACCAACATCAGAAATAAAGATCCGAGAGTTTTTACAGCATGGGTTCTAAAAGCTGTGAAAGAAGGGACACCCCTGAGAAGCCCCCATAACCGAAGAGTGCCCAGGATGACTGTACGGCGTTGTGCTTCCCTCTCGTCACCACTCCTCATCCCACCCACCCTGAGCAGGAAGCACAGCCACGTGGGCGCCTGTGCTGCGCACCACGGTAGCCTGCAGGCCAGCACTGAGGCGGTAACCAGCATACCTGCTCAATCACCCCTGCCCAGGCACCAGGCTAGTTGAAAGAGAACCACTCTGTTAATAAGGCCCTCAAATACAATAAAAAAGAACACTGTAGCTCCCTTTAAATTGTGTGCATGCGTGTGGCTACCTCTTCCTCTTGCAATTTCAATACGGTCTCACTACCATAACCAGCCAATGAATACTCTCATATTTTAGGCAAGTTATTGATACCAAAAAGGTATGTAATTTGGTAATCCTGTTAGGTACAGGTATTCAAAAAAAAAATCTATGTAGGAGGTATAGAGATGAACTATAAAACCACAATGTATTACTGTTCATCAAGATCATTTTGGATTTTCAAGGTAATCTAACAGTCTGTGAGAATAATTATATAGTACTATATTCATTTACAGTATATCTAAGAAATCTATATTTTCATATAAACAGTACTTCTGTCTTGCTTTACAGATTTAATAGGTATTAGCATAAGTTACAACAAGGAACACAAACTTAATCAAGTTCAGACCTGGCTGGTGAGCTCACTTAGTTCCTTTTCCACCTCAACTCCCAAGACTTCTTTGGCAATGTTAGATGCCTTTTTAAAATACGCACACAACTCTGATTAATTACATAAATTTTAAATAAAGAAGTATCTGACACCAGTATTCTGTCACTGACAGAAACTGGCACTAAGAAATGGACTAGCAAAGAAGTAAAAAAGTCCCATTCACAGGTCTACACTGTTTAGAGCTTAGGGAAGAGCAGGCTTTCAACTCTACTAAACAACCTTGATCCTACCAGAAATTGTTTTCACGATAGTCATTTTAGGGTTCCAAAGCATCAGAGCTAATCTTCTTTTAGAATTCCTTTATAATAGCAGCACTTCCGAGCTCCGTGAAAGGACAGGTGAAACAGCCCATATGCTGCATACTACCATACAATACTGAGCCGAGAGAACAGGGGTTAAAGTGAGCTGCATGTGTATGTTATATATATGACGACATAAAGCTTATACATCTCTCTCATATGTAGAAAGGTATTAGAAAGATGTATACCAAAATGAGGATTTTTTTTTTTTTAAATCATGGCATAACTTTAGGTCTTTCTACCCCATTCTCAACTTGTCAAAGGAGAGCTCTTAGCCTGGAAATAGTAAAAATACACAAGAGAGCGTAGACTGAGAACTACGTTACTATGGAAAAGACAGTAAATAATATTAGTTAACTAGAGGTAAACTGATGAGTTCAGAGAGAAAAACTGTTATACTGAAAGAATAAGAGAGGGAGAGTCCTACTGAAATCAGGAACACAAAACGTCCAAGGAGAGAGGCAACCAAGCAGTGCAACTGCCTCAGTCCTGCACCCAGAGAGGCCAAGACAGGGACACTGGCAGGCAGCAGGAGGACTGCAGTCCAGCTTCGGCGCTTTCTCTGGGCCGTGGACAGAGGCCGGCGTGAGGAATACTCTGGTGAAATGTGTAAGCCCTGCTCTGAGCGCTGCTGGGACGGAAGGACAGAAGGTATCCAGGAACCAGGAAGAAGGAGATGAAGAGCCCACACGGGCAGACTTGCTGGAGGGAACTGCAGCGCTCGTGGACTGCCCGAGAGGGCCATCGGGTCAGGCCAAGATCGCAACGTTTTAATGACACCACCAATTTATGCTTCAGAAGGATTCATCAGGCTGGGATGCGCTAAAACAAACTGGAAGAAGACACACGAAGTTGGGAAAGCATGTCATGAGAGTCCAGGGAGGAGCCAAGCAGGGCTGAATGGGACAGAAGGGGCAGGGAGTACACAGGGCTACATCTCCAGAGGACGGTCTGACAACGCACCACTAGCACCGCAGCCACACTTCTAGGAGTCTATCCTCCTAAAACTTAATAAATAAATATATGAAAAATTTTGACTAAAAAGATGTTCATGTAGCATTGTTGCTAACAGTGAAAAAGACCCTCAATATTCAACCGATTAAATAAAGTAATATACAGGTACTGCCTGCTATGGCATGTAGCTAGACGTCCCATCAAAGCCTCACACAGCATTAGGTGGGGCTTCTACAGAGGTGGCTGTGCCTGGCGTGTGTGATGCTGGGATTGATTCAGGGTGCACCGGTAGGATCAAGGGTGTGAGTGTGACCTGCTCGAAGTAGTCTGGATAAGACTCAACACACTGAAGGGCTGCGGCTGTCCCTTGCTTGATTTGCTACCTTAACCCACCAGGAGCTGGCTCTCCTCTACCACACCATCCTTCCTGGGAGCCAGCCAATTGTGGAATGAAACCTCTACAAATGGTGAGCTAAATAAACTTTTCCTCCATTAGCTTTGGGTGTTGAGCATTTTGTCTCTGCAATGAGAAAAGTAACTAATACAAGCATCATAACAACCTCATACACAACTGATTAGGTACATAAATAGGGTACTGCCAAATGCCAAAAACTGTTGTAAACAAACCCATGGTATTAAATAAAATGTCAGTTATACAAAGTATGTTGAAAGTTATTCTGTATTGTTAAAAATGAACAAAAATGCTATTCTGCTTGTGCACACATGCACACATGCACACGTGGTCTGAACTTATGCACATCAAAAATGTTAGCAGTGAATCTCTGTGGTTTTATTATTAGAAATTTCATGGTTTTCTTTTTCTTGCTCATCAGGGTCCCTGCACTAAGCTACAACTCCACCCCCTTTTAAAGTCATATATATTGTGAAAGAGTGTCCTGGTTACTCTTCTCTTGTTGATGGGACAAAATACCCAACACCCAAGATTAAAGAAGGAAAGGAGTATTTAGCTCACACTTACTGGTGGTTTCAGTACATACTCAGCTGGCTCCAAGGCCGAGTGGCACATGGTAGAGGGCAGCAGTTCATGGTGGTGGAAAGCATAAAGAGCCAAGGGAGGGGCAGTGGTTGCCTCTCTTCCTTCCTTACACTGCGTGCAGATTGCCCACCCCAGGGCAGGTATAGCTCTCATACCCACAATCCCAGCATTGGAACATAAATTAATCACAAACCCTAGAAGCTGCCCCAAAACTGCATGAAGCTTTAGAGAGACAACGAGACCCAAACCGTAACAAACGGTCACACTAAATCATTAAATCACCGAGGCTGAACAAGTGATTCCTTGCCTCAGCCCCTGCGAGTGCTGGAATTACAGGTCCACACCACCGCATCCAGCTAATGCTTTCAATAACAGAATACTGTTGTTTTTGTAATAAAAAAAAATAAAAAATAAAAATGTGCATAAAATAACACAGCAAGAACCTAAACTGGGATAGTGGTAAAGGACTGAATAATAGATGCAAAGGGAGGAAGACAAAAGGGAAAAAGGAATGACAGTGTGAAGGCACCCGGGAACCTGAGGCCATCGCTCCGCTTCTCCTTCTCCTCCCTGCTGGTGCTCATGCCCACTCAGCAGAGCAGTGCACTCCTGCGGTCCCTTTCATCTCAGCCTGCCTTCCACTTCCAGGCCAACTCTGTGGCTATGAAGGTTTAAGCAACTGCACATAAGGATCTGATCTGATCATACTTCAGGAAGTTTGGGTGTGGACAATGCACCGTATCAAAATCCAATTACTACTTTTACTTAAGGTTCTCAACCACAAGAATGCTTCCCAAAAATAACTATCCTTATTATCCTCTTCCGTGTGTTACTACAGAAGCCAAGGAATTGTCCTGGATTAACAGCAAAGATGAAAGTAAATTCTAACTCCAGAAACAGAGCTCTAAGACCACCCAGGTTCAAAAAAACCTGTGGGGGTTTGAGGCAAAAAAAAAAAAAAACCTAAAATTGAACTTTCCTGTGTATACTAGTTTAATTTTATCAGAAGAGCTTTGGACCCCATAATTTTATTATATTTTAATAAAAGCTTTTAGGCTTCTCTAGCGCTTCTTGTTCCCTCTCAAATGCCTCACACATCCACTGTGCCTGCTCTGTGCCAGGCAGCGCTGTGGGCACCCAGGATGTGTTGCAGATGAATGGGAGGGGCCGCGACTGCTGCATGTCTTGCCCAGCACCTGCGTGGGATGGGCGAAGCGCAGGAACATACATAAAGACAACTGC